TCCGAGCACGGATAAGCTTTCAGTGTCACAATCTAAAGCCACACCCCGTACCTAGTCACACATACACAGGCCGACAGAGCACGACGCGTGTGACGTTTGAGATGAACGTGATCCGATCAGATAGCGAGCATCAACCAATAACTACGGCGATTTCTACAGACATCGCTGTTAGCAAAACTAGCCACCACGACGAAATACAGAGGAGAAAGATTACGACAGTGACGGCAACGATTAGTAGGAGATAATAGATATTACAGCATGTTGCAACAAGGAAAGTTGAAACTGTAATCAGGACAAACAATACAGACACATAAATCTCACCTCCTTCATTTACCTACCCAGATCTCTCCATGCCCCGATTGCTTACGCAGGTTTAGTTGTCACGTGTGCGCTCTTGGATGTGCTAGCCTGGCCTTTCGACAGAAACTGGCCCTTCTTCTGCTTTGATATATCCCACACAGTGATGGCCTAACCCGTCGTCAGTACTGCTGCCATCAGCAATGCCAAGTTTAGTATCCCCTGACTTCCCCCGTAACCGACCTAGCCAAACTGTAGCAAGTATAACTACCTACTGACGGAATGATGCGGTGGAATAACCGCCCTGGAAGTCGATGAGGAGGAGGAGAAAGAACAGCGTAAGTCTGCGGGCGCGGTGGCAGTGGCGTAGGGCTAACAAAATAGCCTTAGCCGTTAGAATTAGCTCAGCAAGAAATAACAGCCAGCCAACAAGCAAATGGCGGAGAGAGAGTCAGAGTGAAAGTCATGGGGGCTGATTCAGTTTTGTCGAGGACCAACGGACCTCTGACTGTCGCGACGGTTGCTGTTAGCCGTCAACGGCTTTGTACCGAGAAGAGAGACCTAAAACAGGTGGTGCGACAACAAAGTGATCGCTATCCTAAGACAGAGCAACAGACAGCCACGGAACTAAAAGCAAAGAAGAAGCCCACCTCGGCACGAGCCGTCGTCGTTATCACCTTCGTCATGGCCACCCTAACTTTTCCCTCTGGCTCACTCATTCTCCTTTCTACTCCTACTATACCTTTTCTTCTATTCGCTCTTCCGTACTTGCCCACTCTCCCTAAAACTCGCGTACATGCCCTGTTATCCCCCGCGTGGGCCCTGTTCACCCCGCTGTCTGTTTTCGCCCATAACGAATCGATGACGAAGGCCAGTAAGAAAAACCCACAGCTCATAGACAAGCGATGCCTCCAACACGGGTCTTTTTTATTCTGTCTCTGCGTCGCCGTCATCTTCGTTTGCCTATACTACCTACCCTATCACAGTTAGTAGTAGCACAGCTCCAATTCCTGTTTAGGTAGGCAGTAGCCAAAACAATGTACGATGAACAATGAACAGAGGGGAAACGCTGCGACGATCTATTCGCCTCCAACCAGCGTTGCGATGCTGGGGGATACTTCGCTGACTTTTTCCTGTAGCAGTGAAATGGGGACGGCGCGAAAGTAGGAAGGGACCAGCCAAAAGAGGTACCTGGTAGGTTAAAGCAAAACAAGTAGGAAGCAGATAGAACGATACAGACAGAAGGTGGGCCTCGTGGAGGTTGCTGCTTCTGTGAACCGTTGTGTAAAGTTTACTGCACGCAATATCACATAAAGTACTAGGCTGGCCCACAACTTCGAAGTGGAAATTTAGATAACAACAAGTCTGTGGCCCACACAACTTCAATCAATGATACATTAACCGGTATCACTGATGGTCCTTGCACGCCTCTGAGGCAGCTTGTAAATTAAATTTTTCTGGAAGTTTATTTGCAATACATTAATCAATATGATTTTCACACCTTTCAAAGACTTCCTTAGAATTCATGCTATCACAAAAGTGATGATCGAAAGGAGCAGAATTGTAACCGTAAGCTGGGCAAGGCAAAACATCCCAATTAAACTCGTACAAATTTTAGCGAGAACCAAAAAATGCGTAAAGTTAAGCGTTGTCATGATAAATAGTGCACTGCCTTAGTTTAAATTGTCGTTTGAAGAATACTACGAGGATTATAACCTGTCCTGAATGACGCTGTCGGAGATTACCAACTTTTACTTTTCAAGAAAGCGTCCTGTTCATGTAATTTCAGAAGGTAATCGGTCGTGCACACGACGTCTGTCGGTCGCTGATTTGCCAAATCATGAGAAATCCAGATGTCGGCTCCACTGATGAAACTCGGAAGAATACATCTTTGCCTGAACATGCAATCGGCTATCGTGTTGAGACCATATCCTCACGAGTTTGGATCGCACTCAGCCTGTCCTGTGCACAAAATTTCGAAATCGACCTTAAACACATTTTCGACATTTCTCTATTTGAGGCCTCGTACAATTTAGCTAGCGCGTGCAATCAAATCGAACCTAATTCTACAAATGCAGTGAACGATCGCTTTCCTGCGTTTAACCAGCTTTGTTTATAGCGCCAAAATATAAACCGGTTCGAAGTCCGCTGCGAACTTGTGCAGTGAATAAATATTCGCTGAAACTAGCGTCAATATGACAGAGCTCAGGTTTAGGGCGTCATATAAGGCGATTAGCCTTATAGTAGTATGTAATGTAGTAGCCCTAGTAGATGTAATGCCAACATGTACACGAGATTACCTATAATTCTGCGGTAGCTACAGTTAACAGACACATCATATCGGGCCTTTTTACCGTAGCACCTAAGTCATGAACTATATAATGCTTGGAGTAGAATATGACAACCCGATTCAGTTTATTACCGGCTGATTTGCCAGCGATCTTCACATAATGCAAGCGTAACTGTGGCTTAGTTAGACTGGTCGAAGCTCCGTCGCGGCAGTCGTAGTCACTGTTATCAGAATCAGTCAACGATGTATAAGAGTACGATTGTGACATTTTTTTGGCTGCTTTGAGCCGACGGTTTCGAATATGTTTTCTACAGTGCCTTTGCACAAGTCTTTTCACAAGACACACACGCATACGGCTCTCAATGCCTATTTTTCTCTCTGTCTCGTCATACAAACAATTGTTTACATGACGCCTGTAAGCGCGGCTTTCCCCGTTGCTCTCGGTCAACAAATCAAGAAAGGGTAAAGTTTTTACTCAGTCATCTTTTACTAGCCGATGTTTGGGCTGATCAAGGTTTTCGTCGAACCGTCATTCGCGTCACCAAATACTTGTCGTATTGTAGTCAGATTGTGCCATGGCTTTTGACACTCTTACCGTTACTGTAATGCCTCGGATACGCTGTTATTGTTATTAAAAATGATTGCTTATTATCAAGAAAGAAGCGTCAGCATCAAGGGTGCAAAAAACTATTTTCTCTCATTCGTACGCGACCGTCGACTAACTGAGATCGCACACCAAAAGCGCAACGTAAAATGTAATTGTTGACGTCACTTACGATGGCTCAATACTTCAATTATGTGACGTCTATTGCGGAGATACCGGATGAAATAGGCCTCAATGTAATATACGTTTATTTAGGCAAAAAGTAGTGTTGATACATCTAAGTCCGGCCTTTTTATGGGTCGTTTTCTAGACGAAAAAAAGAAATATATATATATATATATATATTTCAACAAAATTGTTTGCATGTGCCAAAGGAGTCATATCTAAAGATAATTTTTATGTAATATAGCCGTCATTCGCGGGAAGTACATCCCCAACTCAGGACTTAAAACACCTATTAGTCATTTTAAAAACATTCGTTATTTAAATTAATTTCTATTCGTAGCCATCATATAGATAAGTGTAAAGTCGTTTCAATGTGGCTCAAGTATGCTGCGTATGAAACATTGCGGCGGAAATAAATTTTTGGCTCATAGGAAGTCGAAAGACGCGAAAAGCTCAAGGGTGCAAAAAGGCACAGAAAATCTAAAAAATACTGATTCAGCTTGTCAGTTAAAATCGATACTCTGCCTTCAAAACATCTGTTAGTTGTTGCATAAAAAATCCAGGTGTAGCAAACGTGACCTGTTGAATAATTGAGTAAATTTTTGAATCTATACTCCATTAAGAATGTTCAGGTAAAAAATCCTTTTTAGATTTCTTAAAACCCTGACGAAGGATAGCCACAACACAAATCGTCGATGCCGGAAAAAAAATTAAACTTTCACTTTTGATTGGGGTTCTGTCCGCACATTGGATAATAGCTGATTTTCACTTAAATTGAGCACTGTTTCTAGTTATGATGGGCTTGGTGTTTTATTCTAGAAAAAACTGGCGCTCATCTGGAAAAAAACAAATAGCGGGTAAACGCATGTCCGCTAGGAAAAGCAATCCGTTGTTGTTTATTGGAATCTGAATGCCCCATCCTATATATATATATATATATATATATATATATATAGGGTCATAAATATAGAGGGACATAAGCCACTTGACGACAGTTAGCAGTTGAGCTAACTATAATATGCATCAGTAAAATAAATGCCCATAACCGTTTTCGTTATAATGTAAAATACAGGTTGTAGCAGTCGTGACAATGCTAGAGATAAACATTATGTTGGGGAATTTTTACAAGCTCAAATTCAGTCAACTTCACAACTTTTAAATTATAGTCTTATCTAATCTTAGTAATGAAAATGTGAGCAAGAAAGAATAATCTTAGAAGATTATCTTCGCATACTAGAATGACTAATCGCGACATAAGCAGCGTCTTAACAAATCGGGAACCTCATTACAGTCTCGCATCTGTGTATGCATTCAATGAAAAGCAGTCAGCTGGAGATTATGGTCAAAAATGCCGGTAAGCGACTTTAAAAAACAAATGAAAATTTTTTGCACAGTTATTGAATTATAGTGTCACGCTTTACTATAGATCAGCTTGCTCATACGTCAGTTTTTTTAGATAAGACCCATCCAATCGAATATCAGGTATTTAATCAAAATTACTTCGCGCAGGAAATAATAAATTTTCTAAGTCTAAGGTCCTTTCTGAAAGCAAACTCAGAAGCATAAACTGCATTTTTATCGCAAAGAAATAAAAATTGTAAATAGGTATACGAAAACATGATATAAGTAAACACATTAACTTACTCATAACAGCCCAAGTGCGCTGCTCGATGAAATGGTCAATAAGGAGTTTGAGCGAATCTGTACACGCTAGACATTCTGCGGAAGCCACGCCGTCATGAGAGGCGAAGTTACATAACGACGAAATGCCCGGCTTTAGCAGATCGAGATAATTCTTTATGCTTGTCTTACTACTGCCAGTTCCAGCGTCAGGAATACCCTCGAGAAGAGCATTCGTACCCACGACGCACAGACACGCGACAGCACACGCTAGTACTGAAGTTACAGGAAACCCGTACATTGTCGACCGATTGTCCCCGGCAGCAACCTCTGGAAAGCGAAGTTAAGAAAAACTTGAACCTCATTTGTCGTAATAGAATATTTATTTAATTCACTGTAATCATATATTCGTTTCGTATTTCAAAAGTTCTGAGCAATAATTATTATATCGATTGTTTGTTAAGCGTTTACTCTCGTCACGTTGATAAGATATAAAAAAAAATATCGTATTCCAATCAAGCATACCAAGTTGAAACGGGGTGCAAAAGAGAACGTATAGACGCCACATATGTAATTAGTTGATTTAAAGAAATGAAAAAAGCTATTACTTAAAAAAGTACACCATTTACGGACCGTCTGCATCAAATATGCACGACCCGCAGGAGTCTGGAAGTCTACGCATCAGAAGGTGACCAAGAAATCTAGAGCCCTTCTCAACAAACTTCTTCGGGAGGGATAGTTCGCGAGGCAACCAGACAACAGGGTAGTCTAGATTCCGAAGCCGGAAAAGAGGGGCACAATAGCGTATCTGCTTCCTCGATTGGCCGCTAAAATCATGGGATCCATTAACATAAGCAGGTTCAAACGTAAAATGGAGGCCAACCGGGCTTCGTCAGAACCACAAAATTATCTTTAGAAGTAAGTCAACCCTCGTACCATAAGAGAGTACTGGAAAGGTCGCAAGGGAAGCGACAGAATACTTACAGCTCGCCGTTTTTTTTATATTACTAGATGTTAGAAATGCATTCAGCAAAATGAATAGAGAATGGTGGATAAATATAGAAGCTCTAAAGCAAAAAGGAGCTCCCTAATACTTCAGGAAGATAATATCTTTATATTTAGAGGATGAAAATCTCCGGGCTGGGCGTCTGAGGAACAGGTCACAGCGGGAATCTCACAACGCTCGATTCTTGGACTAACGTTACCTATGACGAGCTGCTCAATATACTGAATATTCCAAACTACACGGAAAACATTGCTTACACCGATGATTTAGCGTTACAAAGAACAGTTAAAAGAAAAGGGTAATGAAGACCTTGCCGCCACGATGAATTGGATAAAAGATAACTCTTTTCAGATGACGCCGCTACTAGCGAGGCCATTTACCTAACACGAAAGAAAAAAGCTTTAGGAGTTGCGCTGTGAATAAAGGGAAATCGCATCTAGGTTAAAAACAGGTAACGTATCTAAAGGTTGTCCTGGATACTTGTGCGACAGCAACAACACATGGCAGCGAAAACTCTTTACTGTACGCTTCACTAGATGCATCATCTAATAAAAATGAGAGGCTTCTTGGAAAGTATAAGACGCCTTTCAGCGTCGGAGGTAGCGTTCTCAGCTGCCAGGCTGCCCCGTATGGGCGACTATTATTCTAGATGAGCATAAGAACCACAATCCTTGCTTACGGCACAACGAACTATAGTAATTAGAGCAGTCAGAGTATGTAAAACTGGCTCCATTAAAGCGGGCTTCATGTTAGCTAAAGTGCTTGTCTAGGATTCTCTGGCGGCAAAAAGAACGGAGCGATATCTGGTAGATGATAAGACCAGAACAACAACGATGCCGAAATGGTAAGAAGGATGACCATAACCAGGCACGACAGATAAAATTTCTTATTCCGGATCTATGAGCCTATGTATGAAGGTAACAATGGATATCTCTCCCTTTGCACCACGCGAATATTAACTGGACATGGTCAATACCACAACTACATGGTGCAAATAGGGAAAACCTAGCATAAAGTATGCTTATCATACGCGTGAACTAAAACAGATCGGATGCACTATTTCGTATTTAAAAGTAAAACTTTCCTAAAAGATTACAGAGAAGCAAAGGTTGTGGACCATGATTAAGGACGCTGTTCGCCATGTGCTTGGATTTGTAGAGGAATAGAGTAAAGAAACGACTTTTCGGGAACCTTTATGCGCAAGAAAGAAGACTTTGAAAAAGCAAAAAGGAGGAGATTCGAAAAGAAGTGTCAGAAAGCACAAAACGCCGTAGAAAAGAAAAAAGAAAGACACTTTCCCTTCGAGGAATTTGGAGTGACGTTTCAGAACGAGCCCAGTAGAAGTAGAATAACAAAGAGAATAGCGGTTTAGTGAATGCTGTCGAGCTCTATACGGTTTCGATTGTCTGCAGTAAGGTGCGCCCACATTCCTGCCCCATCAAAAGGATTATAAAGGGGAGTAGCTCGAAGTAGTCTAGACCTGCATAAATGCATTAGCCCACACATCTTTAAAAAAGAAAAACAGGTACCCATGTTTTCGCTATGGTAACGTGTTTTCTTACTAACCGGATGTACACTAAGTTCAAATCTTGGTGTAGAAGTACTTTAGTAAAAACCCACGTGTTTAAAAGACCATGAATAAACAAGTTTACGCATATGCTCGCAAACGGATCTAATATAAATTTGGATCCAGCTCATGCTGTAATCTGCCGCGCTGGCAGCACTAGTTCTGTCGACAAACGCTAACCGACAGAACACACTGCCTTAAAATGGTCCAATCGCTGCACCGTAGACCGGGTTCTACATGTCAATACTAAGCGCCATCGACAACATCATAGAAATAGAACACAGGTGCGCTTGTTGTAAACACATTCTCAGTACTATCACGCTAAAGTGTAATACCCGCAGAAAGACATTACAAAGGAACTGCAAGATGTCCGATGAAGGTCGATGCAGCAGGCGCAATCTGGCTTTGTTTTGCATGTTTCATGTCCTAAAATGAGCAATGAACTGTTTGTGGATGTGCGCAACAAACAACCACTAAGTAACAGACTCATAAACTCAGAAACAAACTCATGAGAGAAAAAAACCTCTTTGATGAACCGCCTGAGACGGAAATTTTCCAACGTAAGAGACAGCTGAAGTGACACACCTGTCAATACAATTAATCGAACAGCGGTTTGAATAGTAACGAATGTTGTCGAGTGTGGTTCCTATGAAAACAGTGCTTATTGTTGGTGACAAGGTACTAAGGCACCTTAAAGGAAAATTGAAATTTCAACATATGTGGAAGACTACCATGGAATCGGTTCTTTCATTTGCTGCAGAGTTTTTTGAAACAATCACCCAGCTGGCGAACATAGTCCTGCGCACTACATAGAAAAAGTGCGAGAGTTTCAAAAAAAAAAAACGAAAATTAAGGAATTAGCTGTTTTACTGATGCATAGGAGTGGACATTATCAGCGGTAACTGTAACTCAGTATCAACTACATACTGCAAAGAGGCGAACCAGGCACTAATTGAAACGCATCCGGATGGAATTTTAAAATTATTAATATGATACGCGCATATAGGGAGTTCGTGCAAAGGGTCCTTTATTCTTACTAAAGGGCCTCTGAGACCATTGCGCTACCTACACCTGTTACAGAGCTATCTTTTATAAGGCCGGCCATTTTAGGAACCAAACCTCGCAAGTCGATAACACTGGGTAGCAAGTGATGTTCAATTGTCTCGATGTCTTCACCCAGAAACACTTCACCAAGCCCGAAGAAGCAGCACTGGAAACCATCAGCCGGCAGGCGTTAGGGAAAATGAGGTGGCATACAATGTGGATCATTAGTTCGAGACCGCGATGACAGTAATGCGTAAAGAAGTCAGAAGGACCGCTAAACGAAACAACTCGAAACCTATTCGCAGCCTTGTGATCAACTTGGCTGTTTATGTCAATGAGCACCCAGAGGTGTAAAGGTGTCCGTTCCCTGGACTTCCGATAGCTATAGTGCGTAGATATATATATATATATATATATATAGATAGTGTCGACGTACTGGTCCAATGTGAATCCTGGACGACTAACCTATCATTCAGCATATCATGTTTCTGTACAGTCATCGCTCATCAGCGATTGAATCAAAAAGAAGACGGAGGCCTGCCGGTGGTACCAACATTTGATAGTCAGCGCGTAGTTAATATGGAAGCACTTATATCGACCCCCTTGCCTTTTTACCACTGTTGTTCTAGATAGTTAAAGGCTGCACATAATAAGAGAATACGTTAGACCAAACGATCAACAGTACTGACAGAAAACTTAATGCTGTTCAACCGATCGCCGCCAATCGTGGCCAGGCTACTTCATTCCAAAATTATATAAGCCAAGAGACGCTTGAATGAAATTGCTGAGTGACACTTCGGTGAAGTCTAGATTCTAGATCGTAACCTACGGAGAAGCACCGATACTCTTTGGCACGAGGAAATTTTCCATTATCGATGTGCTCACGACAGATATGCTGTCTATCTCCCAGGTAGTACATCTGGTATCAAGGGAACCCTTACATGTTGGGGCCTCGTATAGAAGTTACCTAACCATGGCTATGCGCATCCTTCTGCCAAGGGTGAAAACAGCAGTTCCGAAACGGAGAACTTTGGTAAGGTCGCTCAATACAAGTACTTTATTGAACTCTTTCCCATTCCAGGCCTACCTAACGTCGACCAGTACAGCGCGGTCCTACCTAGAGATACCCTAACATACACATCTTTAGAGTTGTCTATAACGTTTTCGATCTTTTTCGTGCTCCATCAGGTCAGATATCCTTACTGCTTATTTCCGATGGGCTTCGACGAGCGCCGTGTTACGAGAGCCGCTCTGGTAGAGTGCGGCATGAGACAAGTCGGTAAACCATATAAGTACTGCGGCAGCCGTCGATATTAAAATCGGTAAAATGGCAGCATCGTTCCAGCAGTAGCGCAAGCCCAACACGACGGCAAGATCAGATCCAGCCCGAACACCTCAAGAAGGCTGTAGTACTAGCCCTATGATAGACTGCTTTCTACAACGTCTCCCTGCATGAGGAGAAAATGTTAGACGATTGGCAGAAAGCACTCTTTACCATTATCTCGAAAGATAAAGGCCATGTCCGAGGACCTAGCTTAAGGCGAAGAATTGCTGAAAGGAACTGTCACTACAACACACTTTCAGCCATATTCTGCATGCGTTTCTTCGCTTTTTTTGAAGCTTGGAAAAGGTGTAGGAACAACACATGAATGATCTTATAACCTATAAGACAAGTCGCTTTAAAGATCAGCATATATTGGCCTACTTTAAACG